TTCCATATGCTAGATCTCCATTGTCGATATTAAGTTCCATTTTTGAGTGTTAGGAACATATACAGATCAAAATTATGTGCTGAAGAGAAATATTAATTGAAGAAGCAGTTTTAGTATCTGATAATCCCCCAGATGTCATACAAATGTGAACTATCAATTTTCACATATATTTAATATTCTTTTAAGAATAAGGAGCCTTAGTCCATATTCTATATCTTAAACAATACAAAACTGATTCTTTAATTGACCCTTTAAGAGACTACTGTGTGAAGTACCTTGTGGAGAATGTGGTCTGTGGCTTGAACATGCTTTTTCTGGTGTCCGATGCTTGCTGGGTGCTGTGTAGCTAAGCATCCCTGTCAACATTGCTTCAGACACACTTTCTCTAAGGTCAGCTTCCTTATCTGCTGACTCTTCACGCAGTACACGATGGGGTTCATGAGCGGAGGCACCAGCAGCAGAACATCAGCCAACAGGATCCTAATTAGTACAGAACTGTGTTTGCCAAACCGGTGGATGATGGCCAGGGAGATTATAGGCACGTAGAAGATAAGCACAGCACAGATGTGGGAGACGCAGGTGTTGAGGACCTTGAGCCTTTCCTTCTGCGATGCTATGCTCAACACTACTTTCAGTATCAGCACATAGGACAAGAAAATAAATCCTATGTCCAGGAAACCTAAGAGAGCCACAAATAAGCCATAGATGACATTGACCTTGTTGTCAGAGCAGGCCAGCTTCATGACATCCTGATGGAGGCAGTAAGAATGGGTTAGGTGGTTCTTGTTACAGAAGTGCAGACGTTTCAGGGTGAAAGGGAAAGGTAAAAGAAAGACAACATTCCTGAAACAAAAAGCAACTCCGATTTGAGCAACTCTGGAAATGGTCAGGATGGAAGTATATCTCAGAGGGTTGCAGATGGCAACAAAGCGATCAAAGGACATGATAAGAAGTACAGACGACTCCATAGCTGAGAATTCATGAATGAAAAACTCCTGGGCGAAACAAGCATTAGGGGAAACATCTGTAGCGTTGAATAAGAAAACCCTAAGCATGGTAGGCAGAGAAGAGAAGGACAGCCCCAGGTCCGACAGGGCCAACATGAAGAGGAAGTAATACATGGGTTCGTGCAAAGAAGGCTCAGTTTTAATGAAAAAGAGGATGGTACAGTTCCCCAGAATAGCGACAGTGTACATGAGACAGATGGGGATGGAGATCCAAACGTGGGCAGACTCCATCCCTGGGATCCCAACCAAATAGAAAGTGGAGATCTCAGTTTCAGAGCTGTTGAGGACGGACATGGCAGCATGAGAGTAAATAAGAGGAAAGGCTCACAAGAGGGGTCCTGTCCAGGCGCAAAGGAATCGGTTCAAACACATGACTCTACCATTGTGGTCCTGTCCAAAATCATATGGACCCAAATCTTGGATTTAATCTGAAGGAAGAAAAACAGATGAATATATATATTCATATATATTCATATATATGATACT